CAAATTTTTATAATCTTTATGTGCAGAATAAATTTTATTTTTTCTCCAGGATTGAATTATATTTCTACTAAAATTTTCTTAAAATCCAAGGACTGTTTTATTAGATAAGTCCACATGTAACATTTGGTGAAGAATATAAACCCAATGTTTATTACACTTTAGAAAATTATTGTGCATTCTGGCTAGTCTCGTCGGGAAATATCGCACAGGTGGAGCGCATATATCTATAACTCTAGCTACCCAAGTCGATTTAATTTGTAACGGAGACAAAGGAGCGGTTTCATTTGTTACAATTGAACAAACGGTATATATGTTACTGTTCAGCTTTCCTGTATTTATGTCTCAAGTCTACATAGGCTGGTTCAGTTAACATATACCCTCGTTAAAGAAACTTACTTCTAATATGCTACACAAAATTTAAAACTAATAGACTCAATTTTAATCATTACAACCATGTTAATGACTTCTAGATATCCAAAATTAAATTTTTAGTAATTCATTATGTTTTCTATAATATTAACAGGACTCTTACTCTTTTAAAAAATATAAAATCTGGATGACCAATATTTTTATTTAAATTGTGTTTTTTGGAAATTATATTTAAGTACGAATTACTAATAAAATGATAAAATATGAATAATATTTTTTCGATCTTACCGATAGAAAGAGTTAAGTTTATGTTTAAGTTGATTATCGATAAAACACGAATAAAATGACATTTTCTAAAAATGATTCCTAGCTAGATCGATTTATCGCCCCCGAAACCCACCATATACTAAATTTTATGAAAATCGTTGGAGCCGATTCCGAGATTCCAATTATATGTATATATATATACTCGTATACAAGAATTGCTCATTTAAAGATATAAGATATGAACTGGTATTAAATATTGTAAATAAAAATAACAATGTATTTTTATGTAAATATTTTAATTTTTCTAACACGATCAGTAAAGTTATAAAATTAAAGAAAACGTTGATAATCTTTTACGTGATTTGTCTTCGTTTAAGCGAAGCGTTCATCAAGTCCATTATGCCAAACTCCTGCTTCATCCATTTAACGTCAGACAATGCCTATTGTAATAGAGTTTATTGAGTTGAAAATCTAATTTTTCAATGAGGTTTAATAAGGGAAAAAATTCTATTCCTTGTATTATTCAAATTATTTAGCTGGCCCTTTTTTATTTGCAAAGGGATGTAAGGGTTTACACTTTGATCAGTTCTAATGCATGTAATCAATTCGATTAGGACAAAATCCGTGTAAATCGTATATTAATAGTGCGGTTTATTATTTTTATTTTAAGTGTCCGGTCGGTACCTTTTTATTTTTTATGAATTAAACAAACGTATTAATGTTTGTTTAGATATTATATTTTTAAAATGACATTGATTTTTGATAAATATTTCGCTGATACTCGCAAATTATTTAACTATTTCGTGTTCCGGATATTCAGGATAATCTGGTCTTTAGTTACTTAGAAAAAAATCAAATACACTTGTTAACTTCAATTTCCGTCGACCAGCTTATCCCTTGTCAGGCATGTTTATTTTTTGCCAACTTAACACGGTTTAGCAAAAAATAAAGACATTTCTTCTCAAATAATTACAATTTGTAATTTAGTCGTTAATTAAGATCACAAAAAGGTAACTTGACTATTCTCGATTGAAAAAACATGTTAATGCTTTTAATACTCTAACCGAAAAGGTAAAGAAAACCATGTTATAATATTTAATTATAATAGGTAATATTATAAAAAAAAAACAATCTAAAAATACTATCGTAGCTACGTAGCCAGATGTCTACGACTGTATCGTAGCGTTAAGCGCTACGTTGGAATTCCAATTCCCGTATGTACTACGTTAGTGCAATTCATAAATATTAAACATATAATAAAATAAAAATCTATCTGGAGTATTGTCTTCCGGTTATGATAATTTATTTTAGAGTTAACTTAATTCCTCTAATACTTTCATTTTGGTGTAATCCATTGGAATGTCGAAATACTACTGCTTCATAACTTTTATATAATAAACATTTTTTTAGTAGTATCAAAAACAGTTTTAGCTTTAGAAAAATATTCACAAATCAACATAGAAACGTAGTCAAAAGACAATTTCAGAAATAATAAATCGATGAGACTGATATCTTTAGGAGAGTCGTAAAATGCGAGTATGTACGGAAACCTTTGAAATTCCTTCTATCATTTTGAGAAACCCTTGTCACTCCCATTACGTCCCCCGACACGGTCGCTCGTTTTGACGGCTGGCCCTTTATTTACGAGAGTTAAAGTCACTAGTACTTCCTAAGTAGCATGTACTCTCGACGATATCAAAAGAAATTTTTTTCATGGTTTTATTTTTATTATTATTATTTTTACATAAAATTTATATAGAAATACTGAATGACTCTAAATGTAAATATTAATTCTTTAATAGTAATACATATTAACTTTCACATGCTTTTGTTTTAAGGATAAAATATAACAGAAACATAATCATGTAATCCTCATTTATGTAGATGACAATTTTCCAATAATAGCTACGCAATCCATTCACGATGGTAATTGACATTAAAACGGATTTATACGATACGATATCTCGTGTAATAATTGATAATTCCTGCTGATGCTGAGTTGTATCGTTATAAGAGACTTGACATATCAATATTTCCAATTGAAAACATTTTATGATTTTTTTCTGAATTTTTTTTTATACATCTATTTCCGACGCTTATTACGCTAACAAAGAAAGTGTTATACTTATTACTACTTAAATAGTAAAGCACTATCCAAGTACACTTAAATAATGTTAGTGAAATTGTTCTTTTAAAAATTCTAAGAACACAAGAGATCTTTACTTGATTGAACTCGTTTACAGGTTTGAAACCAACCAAAACATTTGAATAAAAACACCTCATCATGCTTTATTATCATTTCATTGGTTAATATTAATAAATATGCTTGATTTTAAAAGTGCAAAATAGGCAAACTTCAATTTATTGGATAAAAATATTATAACAGGTAAAAGCTACGCCGTGGTCGTGTATGTCCACGGCGTATAAAAAGTACAGAGTTGGTAAAAAAATACTGTCATTTTTTGAAGCTTACATTTTCAATCTTTTTAGAAAAATAACAAACATTCTATGTTCCCAGAATAAAAGTATTTAATTTCTGGCAACATAGGAATTTTCTATTTTAATTTAAGAAACTGTATGTATGTATATTGTACATATTGAGACTACATTTTTGTGTTTCGGAATCCGACAAAATATCTTGCTCGCTGAACTGACTTATCAAAGATCTTATAGCAAAACTGACTAATCAAATAAACTGACTAATTAAAACAGTAAGGTACAAGTTATAAAGTAGTCTGATTTCTGAAGAAAAATAAATAAAAGTAGGTCTTGGGACAAGTCACTTTTAACTTTTTGATATTATCACAAAAGAAAGGAAAACTTCACTACAAAAAGTCTTTGTTTTCGGTATAAAATCCACAAGCAAATTGCTTTCGCCACGTTCGTTTTCAATTAAAATTGATACTTTACAGCCGTGGCTTGTCTGCTCACATTAAAGACCTTCCATTCGGTTGGTTTAAATGCTTAAATTATCTTCCTACTATATTGTTAAAGTTCTAAAGCAAAGAAGATATTATTTAATCCTTTTAAAAATATTTAAATAGACTATTGTTAGCTCTGCACTATATTTCACTAAATTTTATTTAACTCAAAATAACTTAAACATTTTACACCGTCCTGCAGCTTGTAGATAAAACAGAGTTTTTAAAACACTGAGATTAATTTATAGCGGACATAATTTATTCCGACAAACCAGAACGCGGGTCGACGAGACCATGAGGCAATTTACAAACTCGAAAATCGCGGAAGTTCGTTAATTATTCGGTGGGAGCAAGGCCCGCGCTGCCGGGGACTAATGTTTATTGACAATTAAGACGAGCGCCAACCACTCTACGTGCCCTATTGCTGTTCTCCTGGACACCTAACACATACGTTGTTGCTTTATTGAATTTTAACATTCCGCAAATAAATTACCAAGAAACTTCACCAACAAATCTTATCCTGTGCAACGCCAACAGAGAAACTACTCGAACTGAATTACAATATTTATCTTGTAGTTATTAAATAATAATACAAATTATTGATATTTACTTCAAAACTTAAGATGTTTTTAACTACACGTAAAATAAAACTTTTTTAATTAACTTAAAAAGAAATCAAGACTATATTTTATATAAGAAAATAGATTAAAACTTATGGCAAAGAAATTAAATTTGAAAACATCGCGGAAAAAATAGGTATATCGAGAAACGGTACATGCAGGAGTATAAATAATTCATAAAAAACCCGTCTGACCTCGACATATGGGCTGGCAAAAATCGCTTTACGAGTGTGGGAACAATCGGTGTGGGCTACGCCTGCGTTGATGTAACCCGGCACGGGCAGCACCGCGCAAACAAATTGGATGCTTAAAATTCAATTTGAAGGTTTCGCGGTCCGCTTCATTCGGTCGGCTCGTTCGTTACAAGCCTCGAACTCTCTCACATATTCCGATGGAAATGCAATTATTTTGCACTAAGTGGAAATGTGTAAATTGTTTTCGTTACCAAACAGGAAACTTGTTTGTTAAATGAGACCCGCTCTACTGGAAACAGAATTTTTACGTGTTTAACAGAAAATTGTTTTACAAGAACCGTTTCGGTAACAGTTTGTGTCATTCAATTGAAGTATGTTGTTTAGTTTTTTTTAATCCTGCAGATAAACAACTGCAATTTTTCTATCATAACATTTTGTTACACGTTAGATATAAAAGCAGGATAAAATAGATACCAATTTTCATGCACAGAAGTTGGCACTTTCTGTAAAAGAACAATAAAACGAAAAGTCAAATTTCACAAAAATTTATTTGACACCATATTTTATGTACTTTTCAAATACACCAAATTGTAACAAAATGTTAATTCTTTCTTTTATGCTTGCCACTTCTTTAATTTAAATAATATAAGCATTCGTCATAGTACTCAAGTATCCAGTTTGATGTTCAGTGTATTGTTTACTTCTTATTAAAAATCTAGGAAATTACGTTGTTATGGTTATTAATAAAGTAACACTTGAAAAGTTATAACACAGACTTATTATTTTAAAATTAGTCCCTATACCATTTAATCTATTTGTGGCAGAAATTGCTACCATGACTTTAGGTATCACAAATGCAATAGTTGATGAACCTAATATCAATACATCTAACATTGATGTTTTCATCTAATGAAATTACTTAAATTAAAATAGATGCGCTAATGTTGTGTATCAAAATTTTTGAAATAAATTAAAGCTAGGCTAAATTATTGGTTAAAGATCAAATTCACAATTCCTTCCAGGAAAATATTCATAGTTGCATATTTATAATTCCGCACCCTAAAAACTAAATAATCAATTATTATTTATAAATAATCAAGTTGAATATTTAAATTTGTTTGATAAATAAAGATTTCACTTTAAAACACTATACAACGATTTGAAGTTCCTATTATATCAATTCCATATTACCTATGTAATTTCTATATTGTTACAATTTTTAGAACGAGTCACATTTTGTCACAATTTTGTTAAAACGTATATTAAAACGAAATAGTTGATCACCATAATGTGATAATAAAGTATCAATTCCTGTTAATTTTGGACGAGTACGCGGCAAGCAGTTTCAAATACATAATATTAAATATGTATATAGGTATATATACTGTAATAAATATTTATAACATATACGGATGGGCTAGCAAAAGATTTAGATATGGTATGTTGGGTTTGGAACATAAACGTAACATTATATTATTTATTTTAAAGTTACGTTTTAGCAAGCAAATTATAGTGAAAATGTGTTACGAGATGGGTTTCAATGTAATATAGTTGAACAATTCCTTAAACTGTTTCGTTTGTGGTCTATTACCCTGTTTACCATATACTATATAAGAACTTAAAGCATATTGAAGTTCCATTAAAGTAATACAAATAATCCATTCTATATTATATGTACTCGTCCAAATTTCAATTTGTTGGTTTAAATATGAATTTACTTATCAAAAACTACGTCAACTAACCACATCCCACTTAAATTAACTTTACAAAATCACAACATATTATGCAATTTAGGTTATTTTACACCGTTCACTTGAAACACATCGTATTTAATAAAACATTATATACACATAATGCATTTTTCAATAAGTCTTTGTTTACTAATTTATTGTAATATCCACATTCATAATACTGTTATGAATGTTTATAATTATCATATAATAATCTCCCTTTATCAAAGATAGGAATCGAGTAACAAATAGAATAAACGTGTGATTATTTTATGTAGGTATATGTAACTAACGTTCACGTAAGTAACATGGCTGAATAAATTTCGAACAACAAAAATCTGTTGTTTACATATATTTCATTATCTTCGATCCTACCTCATATACGACTAGAATATTGTTAACCTCCACAACTATCTATATATTTACAACACGTTCACTGGTAAGGTTCAACATCATTCAACATTTCGCTGCACGTTCGCACTATATATAACTTGTTTACAATATTTACATATAACTTTACACTTTCGTAATAATAGTCGTAGTATATACAATATTATTTAGGCTGATAAAATCACAATTTTGTCCTTTTATTAATTACCACCTCAGGGGTAGTGAGAAAATCTCATACAGATATTTCTTGTATTTGTACTCTCTTCTTCATAATTCCTGGTGGCACCGGAGTCGAATTTGTTGGCGGTGCTCTCAAGATTCCCGAACCTCCTGCCGCTCCAGTTTCAGAGTCTCCATTAGAATCTGATGTGACCTCGGAATCTGGCACAGGCCCGAATTTGACTTGTGTTGAACTATCTACGACGCGTGGTTCGAATGTACTAGTTCTGCCTATTGGATCTGGCTGCATTCGCCCTTCCACTTTTTGTATATCCGGTTTTTGTGTATCGATACACACTACACTTCCCGCTTCTATCGCACTGCCGACACTGACGTCCGGTAAAGAATTACAAGCGGCTCGATGTTTTTCGTCGTAACAACTGTACTCCCCAAACGTGGGTTCTCCACAATCCGATAACGTCCGTAAATCATATTTAGAACTTGAACTGCGTGACACGTGAGCCGACTTACAATCGAAACCGAACCCTTTTCCGTCGTACGCACGAATTTCATAATCTAATTTCCCATCATAATTGTCCGAGGAAGACGAACTGCCCGCCTCGCCCAGGTCATCTTTCGAACGTCTCGGCCGTGATCCTCGTTGGTGATAAATGCCGGCAAATATCAGCACATTTAGCAATAGAAGAAAACATCCAACTGCGATGGTGACAGTGAGCGCGGCCGTGTAAGACTGGTAATGAGAAGATGCCAGTCGGCGGAGCAGAGCATCGTCCGGGTGCACCGGCGCGACCGTTGCATTTGGCGGGCACTCAGTAGATATGACCGGCGGGGCGGGGGAAGGTTTCGGCTGAGCTGAGCGAGATGAAGGCGTGCTGCGGCTTTCTCCACCGCGTCCAGGGCTGTCTACATTCACAACATGTGGAATGTGTGCCCTTGATATTGATTGTGGTCTCACTGCACCTATAATAGATGAAGGAACGACTTAGATGCTCTACTCATACATTCACAACGAAGTTATTAAATTTTGTATATTACCTTCGTAGTAATTAGCATTGTCATCTTGGAAGTGATGGTGGCGCATAGCGGCATCCGGTAAGTCGTTACCAGGCCGATGAAGTTGCGGTATGAGCGACAGCCACAGCGACATCTTGTGACCTCGATAGTGATTTCGCATCTCCGGTTTGTTACCTAGATGCAATGTTTTTATTTTAATTTCCGTGAACTATATACACACTCTTTAGAATTCAATTTCGCATTTTGCTTTTATAAGCATTTGAAATATTACGTACCAATTTCCATATAGAGCTGATTAATTGTGTCATATGTGTCCCAATATAGCATTTGATCGGGCCCGAGGCGAGGTGTCTCCCCTAATAACGAACTCGGAGGGGGCGTAGCCGATGGGTCGTTGGGATTACTAGTGTAGCAGAGTTATTTAATTAATTTAAATCTTAGTGAGAAACATAAAACAAATTTATTTTCAAAACGATCGAATACTCTTAAATTAAATCGTGTGAACACATTCATTGGAAATTACTTATTTAGTAAGAGTTTGTAGTGAATAATATACATAAAACAACAACCGTAGCATATAAGTAACGAGAAAAAATTTGTCTTCAAAGCAAAGATGGAATGCGTATCTACTAACAATTAGCATCGGATGTCCGGCTGCATTCACTAACGATACACCTTAGAATAACACTGGAGAAGACACAATCTTTCAGAAGTCGAGTACACTTATGCGAACTTCAAATATATTTTTAAATGACAGAAGTTTTTTATTTAATAGGAAGTTATAGAAATATAAACTACGTTTATTAGTTGCCAAGGCACGAATGACATTTGCATATAGACTTATCTGAACTAAGAACGTAGAAAAAAGATTTCTAATATTATATTTAGTTACTTACCCGTATCTTACGAAGTTAGAAATGTAATGCATGCAAATCTTAGAGACGCGCTGTTCCTGTTGCGAGAAGTTCTGGTGATGAGTCTGAGAGAACGGAACTCCCAAGTAATATGGTAATTCTTCGCCGTGCACGGAACCCGGTCGCTACGAATTACAATAATTATTTATAATACTAAGCTCCTTTTAAACTAAACAAAAAAATTCTAATCTATTATTTTGTGGCACTGCCAAGTTTAAATTGTTGCTAATAACACCTTTAATCAACACATGATCATCTCCCTGTCATTGTTTGAGAGTACCCTTATACAAGGTACATAACTTACCTGTGGATAATCTTTATCTTGAGAAAGGTGATGAAAATGTGTAAAGTAAGTTGTTCCACCTCGCAGGGCATGTAAATAGCCTAGTCGTATCAAAGGCGCTGCGGTACGCCCATCACTGAGAATCTAGAATAATTAAATATATGAAACAGTAATATTCATGATACTTCTTTGATGTTTACTCGACTGACAAAAGGGTAACGTTCTACCCTTGTATATATGTATTTATCAATATGTTTGTGTGTATATACATGTATGTGATGAAATATAATTATATTAGATTAGTTAGTACTTAAATTATATTCATTTTAAATATACATACATAATTAAGTATATTAATGTGCAATACGAAATTTTATAGGAATACCTAAGCATAGCGCAAAGCTTTTATGAACTTTTATGTTTAAATTGAAACCATAAAGAATCATGTGCTCGCCAGTCATCTTCAGTTATAAAGCGTCTATTTTGTATTCAGCGCGCGAGAGTGTTATTAACTTCTTTTGTGCGTTACGAAGTCATTGAATGAGTTGCAAAAACCGATTGAGGCTTAAATTATGACCAAATGAGATATCAATGTTGATAGAGAGAAAAATAATTGGAAATGCTTTCTTAATGAGCGTTTGGCAAGAACCGAAAGGAAAATTAAAAAAAATATAGAAGAAATTGTAATTTTTAATACTCCTTGGGTGTTTAATAAATCAACTCACCTCGAGGGTCGCATCGCGTACACTTAAAGGGTTCTGTACAGGTTTATCCCAATCCGTGTATTCGTTTTTTAAAGTAGAATAAATTTCATTAAGATGATAATAGTAGGCGTTACGGACAAATGTACGCAGAATACGGTCCCGTCGACTTTCGTTAAAACCGAACTCCAAGTCTTGAGCATTGAATTCCAAGTAAGATTCTGCAAGTTGGAGAATTTCAGTTATTTGCATAAATTTTGGGAAACACTTCACCAACAAATTTAAATGAGACAAATTTAATGGAAGCCGCACCTTAAAGAATTCACTGCTTCACAAATTAAAACGATAATAAATTTACTAGATAATGTTAGGTAAGCATAAAAATAGGTTTAACTTGAATATAACTTAATTTTTACAGTTAATATGTTATTCCACACATAAACTTCAGTACAAAACAAAACAATCTTAGTACTTTTTTGGTATACCTACTCATTTGACTTAAAGGCGTTGTCGTAATTAAAAAAGTACTTTAGAAACTGATGCAGACTAATATACTGTACAAAAAGACAAAACAGAAAAAAATCTTCATTGATTAGAATCGCTTGCCTGTTGTCGTGAGCCCAAAAAGCAGTTCTCTATGAGAAAAGTCTGCCAATTCATGTCCTGCGGCATTGGCCACCGCCGCCGCGCCCGCGCCCAATCTTGAGTTATCCGTAGGAGGTGCAGCCTACATAAATAAATCAAAATATTATCATTTTTTTTATTTATATATGTAAAATTACTTACATTTGGCATTAAATTTAAGGTAAAATTATATGCAAGGAGATTTAAGGTCATCAAAATAGTAAAAACAACAAAGTAAGGTCATTCCTTTCAAGAATTTCTCTTATTACGTAAATAGAGAATGTAAAACTAATTGAAAAAACAAACGTTACAGTTCGAAGTTGAAATTATTATAAAAGAATTCATTGTTAACTTACTGACGATGGATTTACGATAACAGTTCCGTCAACGAAGGGCGCGAAACCTGGCAGAAATCTTGGGGGATCGAGTCGCACCGCCAGGAGTGCGGAGAGGGGAAGCTTTCGAAGGCAGGGAGCTAGGTCATCTTCCAACAAGTCACCGTGACAGCCTGTTTGCTCCGCTACCTATACAAATGTGTATAAAATCAATACACACAATGTATGTATGTATATTTCAACTTATCATTAAATATATCTTCTGATAAGTTTATAGATAGTATGTCTATATAGAGAAAAATCTTTCGCTCTCCGTCAACATAGTTATCTAGAATTATTAAGAAAAGGCATTTACTTAATTACAGCTATTAAAAAGTCACACTTGTAATACAACTTGACATGTAAATGTAAAATCGCTAAAGAAAAAACATAAAGCGACATTGGTGTACATAAATCTCTATAAAGTTATATGAATCTAAGCATATTTTATTTCTATAAACTGAGCTGAAAACAACTTTGAAAAGGTCGAGAAACTTTAATTTATTTGAACAAGTAGTGCTAACAGTTGAAAGCTTACACTAAATATGCTTTTAAACGGCGCTCTGTTTACCTTTCTTTTTATCGTGAGCGGTTCTCTCTGCAGCGCCCAAGAGCTCAAACCCGACCCGCTTAACAAGATGACGCGCTTCAGTAGCTCTGAAACAGAAAACCTAATTTAATTCCATCATTTCGAGATTTACTGAAGTAATATTATCTTCACTAATGAATGTATTGAGTCCGCCTTCTTTATTGTGATTCAGTTAACGTTTATTACTAACGCTATTTTACTCGCACCGTATTTTTAAATGTGCTCCTTTTACTTTTTCAGAAACATTTTTTCGCACGCTTTAGAAGACATACGAGTACTACTATACAAAGCGTAATTTATGCACGACTCGCAACTGAATTGATAATTTGTGAAAATAAATGTGAAAGTATGGCGTTCTTAATTATCTAAGTAATAAATAACTATAAAATAAATAAATAAGTGGCTATTTCTAACATGACTGTGATATTTATATATACATATTTACATTTTATAAAATGAAATACAGGTGATTTTTGGTATCGAGTAAACTGTAAATGTTATTTGCTTGTTTATCGTCGTAGTAACAGTTAATGTCAGGACCCTAGTTTGTTTAGTATAATGATTATTGTCATTGCTTCTACAGAAATTTAGCGTCGCAATGTACTCAAAGATGCTTAATTTTAGTTTACATTAATAAAATAATTCAATTTTGTTTTTTCACTAAACATTCCGTTATTCAAAAGATATTGAAGCGTAAAACTGAAGTTTGTTCCTTCTTTACTGTAAAATCATTTTATTTTATTATTTATACAGTTATTTGGGTTAACCAGCCAAGCATAACAAAGCTTTTTTTAATTTACATATCAAACAGACTTTTTAGGTACAAATTAGTAGATGGTAATGACATTGAATATTGATGAGTACAAAGTTAGAAGAAAACCAAAAAAAGTTTAGATGGATTATGTGATATGTGGATATGCGAAAGAAACTGATATCGATTTATTGTGAGGAAATACGCTAATTCATTAAAGTTTACAGTCAAGATTGTAGTAAGAAACAAAAACGAACCTCTTCCGACCGGTGATACCGCAAGAAAGTTAGCAAGAGCAGCTCCGGTGCCGTGTCCCATGAGCGTCACGCGTTGGGGGTCGCCGCCAAACGCGGGAAGGTTTTCCCGAAGCCAATGCAGCCCTGCTACCAGGTCCATAAGCCCGAAGTTACCCTGCGCCGACCCTCTAGCACCAGTCTTTAAAAAACCTACAACGCAAAATAATAGAACGCACCTTCAATGAGTAATTGCGTTAAATCTAATATAATATTTTAATTGACGCGAAATAAAACTCATCACATTTTAAAATATCATAAAAAAATTACGTATTATTTTAACAAAAGTGACTAATTTGGTAAAGTTGTAATTACATTTCGATTCAGTTACATTTAAAAGTAGTATAATTTTTACAAATTCCAAATCCAATTAAGTAAATCTACTAAAGCAACACTTAAAGTAAAATTAACAATTTTATTGGTCGACACCGATGCTCAAACTTGGTTAGGCGCTTACGAACTTTGAGCCCGGAATCAAAGTTACGACTGCTGTTAAATAAATTACAAGTTTTAAAGTTAAACGTGCTAGGCAACAGCAAAAGGCAGAACTTGCAACTATTACATTACATTATTATATTGCAATCATTAAATAACAACAATAACAAAGTTAATATTAACTTTGTAAAAGCATTTGTATGTATACGATTATATACGTCCCTTTAAATTTCTTAATTGATGTATAAATGGCAATCATAACCTAACAATGAGTTAAATTGTTATGAAAAATAAACTATATAAATGTTACATTTAAATAATACACATGCTTCCCACTATGATTTGTTTATAATTAAATGACACACATTTACCTAACACCCCTAGTCTAAAGTTGATGGTGGCGACGATGATATTGCCGTGCGCGGCGAGCGTGGTGCCGTCGTACGCGTTGCCGGCTCCCCACTCGTAAGACTCTCCGTGCACGAACACCACGCACGGCAGCCCCTCGCCCTCAACGCTCTCGTCTGCTCCTGCGGTAACATCATAATTAACTTATACTATAGTAAAGACAATGTATGTACTAAAGAAATACATAAACAATTGATTTGAAAACTGTAGAGATCCTGGTCATTATGGCGATTTTTTTACAAAAAAAACTACGATAAAATGTATTATACAATAATGCCAATTAATTAATAGATTCAAGGTGAATAATAGTAAGCAATATAGAATATTAAGCAAATACAGAGAAAAAAGGTAATTTATTCTGAATAACGGGTGAAGTACTACTATTTATAGACAATTGCAGCACGGAGTCTTCGGCTGTAGATGCGCACTCGTAGCTATAGACTGTCTCAGCCTCACTTCCGCACTGCTTGCAGGGGGCATGAAGCACTGCAATGCACTACGGAATTGAGGCCTCAACACCCTTCACACCCGATGTTTTCTGTTTTCATTCCCGCTGTTGCAAATGTGCCTCCCAATTTCCGTCTCGAGCGCCCTTTTGCCTTACACGCCACCGCACACAGCGCAAAGTAAAGCTGCTAAATTACAAAGCAAATAAAATTATAAGCTTCACCACAACATAGCAGATCAAAGTATTAATAAAACTCACATAACTAAAGCATACGTTAAAAATGACAATTTATTGAACTAAAAGCGCAGAAGCCTAATACTGGAATTAAATCACCCTGGTTTGGTATCAGAAACAATATAAAAGAGCGAGTCGCATGAGATGTGAGCGTGATGGGAAACCAAAGGAAAAACGCAAAATATGCAATAACTCTTTGTCGTTTTGCAAATAAAATGGTGCTGCAAACAAATTCTACCTTTTCGATCAAAACACTTTTAAAAAAATACATGAACGACGACAGTGTCGATTCGATTCAATTTATATTTAGATTTTTGTACACAGTAAACCGTGCGTTGTCGTTTCTAGTTTTCATACATTTCTCACGAAGCAAAATTTTGGTACAGATACAGTAGATGAATAACTACAATAACATATCATTAATTTTTTACTAGAAATAGAAATATCTTTACTTTAAACAAATATAAAAACTAACAAAATAGAAACATAAAAACTCCTTGAAATTACTTAACAAATAGTGTTGAGTATAGACAACATACAGAAGGTTTACAATGCGTATAGCGACATTTTGCGATATCTTATAGTAGTAAGTAAGCTAAAGCTTAAAACATGATAAATGAATGTTCGAGTATTAGCTTACCGTTAGTAGGAACATAAAGATTAACATAGAGGCAGTCTTCGCTTTGGTTAGCGAGCAGGGGCAGGAGCGCCTCGAGGTGTCGGATGCGCGCGCGCGGGTGCAGCAGCAGCGCGTCCTCGTGCGGTGCGGCGGCGGGTGGCGCTTGGGGGCACGCCGGCCCCGCCGCGTCCGCCAGCCGAGTCGTGCGCCACTGCGACGGCGTCACCGGCGGCATGTATCTGTTGTACATTCCACGCTTTATCCCTCCGCACAACACCACCAATCCACAATAAAACGCCTTACACTCATTTAATATTATTTTCAAAGTAGCAGTGTAATAATTTATCTTTTGTGCGTTTTAACAAAGATTTCTTCGGACTTTTGTTCTAGTTTTATTCAAATGTAGACAAAGTAAATGTTGTTAAAGCGCTCATCTATCTACCGAGCGCTACTTCTACTTTACTGATTATTTGTTTGTTCGAAACAAAAGAACTTAACTGCGGTACGGTATAAAATAACGATCACATAAATGAATTTGTATATTTCTTGTATCTTACTTTTTATTGAAATACATTTAGTTATCTTCGCGGCGCGTCATGCAATTTTTTTATTACATCACTTTCTAATGTGTGCGTAACAATTCTTTTGTTCCGCGTGGATTTTCACCCAACTTGTCTGTCAAGAGGGTAATGTTTTTATATTTATATAAAAGCAGTGTGTTAGAAATATATGTGGGTGGGAAGTAAAGATTAGCTAGTATTTACGCCGGTGGATTTTAATATTGCTTGACTTATCCGTCCTCTTTACAGAACCACGTAAAACGCGTTTTGGGAATGTTAGCATCGTTTACTAGTCCTAGCTTCGAATATAAAGACGCTATACCTGAGGCTTCCGAGAGGCGGCGTGGCGTAGGGCACGCCGAGGTAGGCCTCGACTTGGGGGTGAGAGTGCACGACGATGCCGCGCAGAGGGCCGTACTTGGTGCGCACGAGGCGCGTGCTGTACTTGTGCGCAGGCAGGGTGGCGGCGCAGCACACGAGCCACGCGAGTAGCGCGGCGCGGTCCGCGCGCATCACGCGCGCCGTGCGCTCGGGGCGGAAGCGGGCGGGGGCGCGGGCGCGGCCGGCGCCCACCAGCCGCAGCGCATCACGCTCCCCGCGGCACACTCGCACTCGCGCACCGCCCCACGCTCTGCCCCACGCGCTGCCCGCTCATCCCGATAAATGCTTCGCTCGTGCTCGCCACTGCCATTACGTCATATTGCTTATACAACGAATTTGTAACGAGATCCAGCAGCTCACGATGATCTATATATAACCTGGCTACCATTTACATCTATGAGTTTACGGGGGCAAAAGTTACGAGGCGTTACTTTGAAAGAAAGAGTCATGGAACTGACGAGAAAAAGGACAGAAAGAAGCACGAGAGGCATCTGCAATTCGCTTAGAGATTGAAAACCCCATAGAATAGCCCATTTTGTGAGATCACGATCCCATTTTAAATAAAATTCTCCGCGCAAAAATATAGGAGACAAGGCTTATTTGTAAAAGAAACGTTGGATTTTATTTTATATGCTTAATTTTATTTTTTATTTTACTCTAGTTCAATTTCAAACATGGCTAGGTTTAAAATGTATAGTTCGCTACCACTTTTAAAAGATTCACTCCTCCATTACAGGCCAGAGAGACCAATAGTACAATTCCCCAGCTAACCATAATAGTACTGTAAACTTTACACTCAACGAAACAATGCTTTATGTTATGTTGCCTCCATAGTGTAAATTCATGTATCTCTGTCATTTATAGAGCAAGTTTTTGATAATATAATAAATACTTACCCGAATCATGTTCTCATTGTGGCACTTATTGTTTCTGTTGCCGTAGTAACCATAACTCTGAAACAAGATATTTTTATATTAGTCCTCATTTTGGTAGGAGAAATATTAAGTATGAGTATTATTTCTAAAAAAATAATTTAGAACTCTAAATTAATTTGTAATTCAATATTCAACGAGAAGAGTGTGGCTTCGGACAATGGACCGGCAGAAAATGTTTACCTAAATAATCCGAGCTTTCATATAATTTAATAGAACACAAATACAATAACGCCGTCCCAATTTTAGCAAAAGCCTTGTTAATTTTTAGATAAACCGCAAAGGTCACTTTAGCTGTATTGTAAAGGCCGTTTATGTAATAACGTCAACTTAAAATAGCTTAGGCTGGATAAACAGTTATGAAAATACGTTATTAAGTTATAAGTTTTATGTTATTTTATTACCAATTCAGCTAAGTTTATTTTTCCATGCAATATCAAAACTAATCCGTTTCAAAATGTAAATAAATTACAACCGTCACGAGTAAAAGACTAATCAACTCGCCTAATTTAGGGAAAATCCACTGTATTTTCTCGAGAAATTTGTTTAAGTCGTCAACTTGAAGATACTTCCTCCGTCATTTTATATTCAACTCCGTAGAACGTGGCGTGTTAAGCGTAGCTTAATACGTACCTTGCATTTTTAAGTTATTTCAGTAAATTGTATCTTTGTTTATAAATAATTTATCATAATAATGTGACAGCGCAAGCAGCATTTTATTAGGACCTAAATGGTTTTAAGAATTTTTGGGCCATAAACATTCTCGGGCTTTTCTATACTTGACTTCCTCATTTCTACAATTCAATCGTTTATGACGAATAAAGAATAAACATACATAAATAATGTATTGTTTTTATAATGATTATTTTTTCTACTGATATATTGTGAATGCAAGTTCCATAATAGTTTCTTACTGTTGTACCAATTTTGTGTATGAGATACACCAATTAGGATTATATATAGATATCTGGACCGCAGCAAAGGTTAAACGCTTACAAACATTTGTTTATTTCTTTGTATTCACGAAACATCGACTGATATGACGATATCAAGGACTCACCAGAAAAATGGGAGACTTATAAAACTCCTACAATTCATGGTTATGATTGATGGCCAAACGCCGGCCTCTCTTTAAATTCCCTGAACGCTGTCGAAAACGAAATATCAATGGAGCCATCGACATCAATTATAAAATACTAACACCAAAATAATAAAGAGGTTACGACCTCCGCTATTTGGACGAGTAGCAAAAAATAATTATTATATTTTGTACGACATAACCTATTTTTTGTGTTATAATGTTTTCTAGATTTAACTTAACAATATAATATTCCGTTTGTTTCTTATATCGTTTAGTTTTGGTTTGATTTGATTTTAAAACATAATTTAACGTAAATCAGTCTAATCCGAGAACAGTTTAAATAACATTAGTTCTGCTATGTAACGTAAGCGAGATGTCACCATCACACACACTCTACACTTGTTGATTAAAAGATGAGTTTGAAGTAGACTCGGTAATTAAGATGTTTCAGTTAAAATGAATTAACCTGAACCTTAACGACAGCAATTTGCTAGCAGCGTGTCAACAGCAATTTACCAGTTATCTTTTTAAAGCTGCCAAGTTCTCCGCAATTTTCCGCTCTTGCAGTAACCCACCGATTAAGTAAATCTCCACCGTGCACAGCTCGCCCCTTTGATCGATCTCCTGTCCGATCAATTATACCATTTGCTGCCTTACAGCATGAAAATTTATGCAGTGTTTTACATTTTATTTTACAAAAATTTACTGTCGACTCATAACTTGTATTAGCTTTGATATTTTAAGTAACAAAATACATTAATTTATACACGACTGTTAACTGATTTGAAAGTTAAATACCTTTTACAATAATTTTGAATAACTTGGTATAAACTTGTGTAAAAATATAGCTTTTGGAAAGTATCCCAAAGAACATATAATATTACTTGCGAGAAGACAACTATAATATTCATACAAGTTCTCTAAGTAAATACATTGCTCACGTTAACGCTTTTAGACTCATTCAATTATCGCGGTCAACTCTCTAGACGAATATTGTTCTAATTGCATCAGACACTCAACTGTTATTTGCAGGGTGTCTAATACATTGTCTGTTGACAAGATACATCACATAATTTTCTCTGATGTAAAGTATATTGCCTTGAAATCGTTAGTACAGTTAATTAGTACCCTACAATTATCTAAATTCAATATTTAAGGGATTAAGGAAAAAACATTGAGTAAGTAATTTAATAAGTTAAAAATACTTTTCTTGTTTGTTTTTGAACTCTTCGAAATTAAAATGAAAAGAAATAAAACTTCTAACGGATATATAGGCCTCCATATTTCCACTTTGTCAAGGATTTCATAATGCTAATTTTAAATCACCTCACTGTGTTCCTTAACGAGTAAAGGGCCAGCTTGTAGGTCGGGCGGCGCGCGGTGGTTACGGACAAGCGTTGAATTGGTTCCATCAATCACGACAGGGCCGTCCGCAGCAGGGCTTTAATGGGCAAGCGTTAATCTTCCATTTTCATTGTGCTTTTGCTTCACAATATTCTATAGACGGATGATTTCCTAGAAATCGATATCCTATTTCAACGTCTTTGAGTTGCATTTAATGCTTACAAAAGATGTTCTTGTAGTTTTTGATAGGATATAACAGTTTAACCTGTAGATAAAAGTTTTTCAGAAATGGTTAAGGAAGTTTATTGTTACATTGCTCCAAAATTTAAAAGAGAGATAGAAAGTTATTATATTAAAATTAAATATTATTCATAATTTTATATATTCTATCAAATTTATACAAACAAAACAAAGAAATGACGTTGAGGAACAAGAATAATTAAGCCGAGGCTACGATTTCGGCTGGGTCGCATTTGCATAGCAGTAAATTTCGTTAAAATTCAGAGCCCATCCCGGTTTCAGTTTAACTGTCGTTGTTGTCTTAATGGCCACCGCCGCGCTAAATCTCAGCGGCTTTAGCGGGCCCACAACACCCAAATTGGTTACTCCTTGTCGTTAGCTTATCTCCTTACCTAATGTGCACACTTTACTTGAATATAGTTTGATTGTTTTCGGAACGAATTTTGATTAGACTTATTGGGATCACGGAGTTGTAATAAGTGGTGATTAGCATTCATAGGGAATCAAAACTATTGCCGTAGAAACTTCAAAAGCCAAATTTTATTAATATTTGATTAACAGAAACATTAAAAACAGTATAAAAAGCGGAGAGTTTTAAGTAAAAGTGAAAACATGCAAAATTATTATCTGCTACAAATGTCACGAAAGTTGTATATAATAATGAATTAAGGTTAAATATATTTGGTAATATAAGTTCTCCATTTTATTTACTTTTAAAAGTATATAAATTTAATCTCGACGATGAAACTTAAAAATGCGCGCGGATATTTTACGAATTTCGTGGCCCTCCAAATGGTTCACTGAGTGGCGACTCAAGTTTACTCGTCCTAAGTAATGAGCCCACTTCCAAGTTATATTCATTTTATTATCAAAAAAAAACTTTTTGTAATATGAATATGCTGATAAACTTGATAAAGAAACTTTCAAATACTCGAAAGATTAGTGATCAATAAAACGATAGATATCCAGATCGTATAATATTACTAAGTACTACAAAGTCAAATTAAATAACATACCACACTTAAAATCTACATGTTGAGTGCTTTTAATTAGAATATCCAAACTACGGTACTTCCTTAGGCTGTAAACAAGTTTGCGCTTGTGATAAACTTTATAGATACACCTGTCAAACCTTCATGTGACAAGACAAACTTACAACACAGGAAGTAACCAAATTTAATATAGGTTATTTTTATTCAGCGTTAGAAAAATTTAATGGATCGACAATATTCAATCAACAGGAATACAATATTATGTATGATAAATCCTCTATAACGCAAGCATAATTTTGTGACTGATATAGATGCTAAAAATAACACTTATTACCAGATACAACAAAAATCTGAACCAAAGTAGAAAAACTATCCATTATTCCTAACCAATTTATGTTGTAATTTATGGTCTACTTTTAGTATTCGAATTTATTTCTACCCATTGTCTATGAAGGTCTCTACACAGATATCTAGATAAGTAAGAGAAATAAATGTGAGAATAGCCGATTACAATATATTATTTAATCAAACATTTTACAACGAAACCAGAGAAAATCCCAAGACGCGCAACGCAATAAAATAGGAGATGAAAGAGTAAGCTCACAATACACATAAAACTAATTTGGTAAAGCCACTTTGAGCCGAACTGACCCTTGGAAGTTTACGCGTGAACACACAAACTAATATAACCTTGATTCCATGATATTCTTGTGTATAACAGACATCCTTATTTTAAGACTATCTCGTTGTACCGTCGGAATTCTTTCTCAATAACAATACAAATAAACACTTGTAAAACATTCTACAATGAATGCTTCTAGGTCTTTCTTTCAACGATATGTCCTTGACACAAATTAAACTTTTATAAGAAAATAAAATCATTAATTTGAACACAAAATCCACTACCCAAACTCTTTAATTCTTGAAAATGGTATATAACTTGAGAGAGAGAGAGATATTTCCGGCAAAATCTAATTGTATTGTAATAACGAAGGAGTGGGATATTATTTCATTAATACTATGGAACAGTTGTTATTCGTGTAGGGAAATTTATGTCTTCTTAGAATTTCTAATTTCGCTTAATACGTAATTAATTGCCTGATTATACCAAGTGGAAGCTTGTTTCGGAACGGCAAACAAAAATGTTTAACAAAATAAGAAATACAAGGAAATTTCGCAAACGGAAATAAGCTTAATTTTGTTATTGTTTGATATTGAATTAGGCTTTATCACATCTTTTCGTAAAATTCAATGTAATTATTTTATTAGAAAGTCGTCTATATGATTTTAGATTTGATTAGACGTATTGTAATTTCATTATATAATATAATATATCTAAGACTGATTAAGAATCGAAGATATTT